CAACTGAACCTTACTGGAAGAACTAAATGACCTAAAAATAATGAAATAGAATTAAATATGTAAATTATATAAATTATATAAATTTATTAGTCTAACCTTACCATATTGTAAATATTTATTATCAAAATACTAAGAAGTTTTATCCCCGGCGCAGCGCGACGGGTTACACCTAGTAAATCATATAAAGATTTTTCTTGTTACAAGATTTACCAAAATAACTCTTGGTTGTACCCATAACTTCACACATCTTTTGACAGGAAAAGAATAAAACAAATATCACATGGGTATAAAAACTTAAAATTTGTATAAAGAACAACCATCATTTTTTAATTTGATTGTATTACAATAAAGCTGTAAATACGCCTTTAAAAATTAATAAATTGTATCGTAAATTGTTAAATAGTAACGTTGTACTATTATCTTACAGAAAAAATTACTGCGTATGTACAGTAAAAGTTAAAAGACCATAATAAAATGTTACCATAAATCACTTGACGTATTGCATAAATTAATATTGATAGAAATTAAGGACAAGAAAGAATTTTTGCTTTTTTGTAAGGAATTCTATAAAAGAATTTTGTTTATTTTATTTTTTTTTATTTGAGATGCGGGTTTTTTCTATTAAATTCCGTGAATATGTCACATATATATGAGGATCAAATTACGGAATACTTTGTTATTTGGAATTACCAGAATGGCGGAATAATTTTCTCTTCTATTAAGAAAATTTTCGTTTTTCCAAATAGTAATGCGGACATTAACTCATTTTTCGACGCTTGATATCTAGTTTGTTTTATTATAAACAAAGTTCCTATATTGTAAAATATGATATAGCCTTAGTATATCACAAAAATTCTTTTCTTTATTTATTGATTAAATCCATGTATAATCGTATAATTGCCGAGTCAGTCAATCCGCGGATTTTGAAAAACAATACGATACTACTAAATGAGAAATTGACCCCAAAAAAAAAAAAAAAAAAATCCCAAAAGACAAAATCACAAACTTTACTTCTTCACTTCCAAAAAAAAACTTTGTAAAAAGAAAACAATCAAATCAATATTTTTATACCGTAATCTTATTTAAAATTACAATAAAAAAAAGTCATGAAAAACTTCAATGAAATAGGCTTAAATTTTTTTTTGATTAGTATTTTTTTTCCATTAATTTCTATATAGATTGAAATTATGACCAATAACCTTCTTAATATTCTGTCATCAAATTCCTTTAATTTAGGATTTAGGATTTTGCTGAATTTATAAACTTTTCATAAATTAGCAGTATTAAATTTGCCCAGTATAAATATCGACAAGGTCTCATCAAAAAAGATCGACTATAATAGTACCGAGAAAATCATTACGGTAGTGTTACCTATTACAGTTCACCTGAGTGTTACAAAATTTATGTACAACCGTGTGACATCCAAAATTAGGCTTATAATGACTTATTTACTCCGTAAATCCGGAAAAAATTTTCTTTCCTTCCTAAATTTTCAAGATGACTTTACCTTATTTAACAGATGATTGTATCTTTTACATTTTACAACATCTCAAAAATAATCATTCAACTTTATTTAATTGTTTATTAGTTAATCGATTTTGGTGTAAATCAACGATTCCTTTACTTTATGCAAACCCTTTTATGAATATAACTAAAAAAAATTACTCGATAATCATGACCTTAATTTTTTGCTTTAATAAAGAAGAAATTTTACAATTGAAGAATAAACTAGAACAAAACCATATTAATAATATTAATTTGGATGAAGAATACAAACCATTATTTGAATATACGAAATATTTGGAAAACTATAATTATTTTACAATAGATAACATAATAAATGGATATTGTTTGGGTTTATTGATTCCTTATAATAAAATATATGATATTACTCTAATATTTCATCAATCAATTTTACGTCAAAGTAAAAATATTAAACAATTAGTTATTTCGACATATTTATTTAATAGAGAATCGGCTAAAAATTTTAATGTTCAAAATTTCATATCAAATTTAACAAAATTAAATTCATTATCATTAAATTTAAATGACACTAGTAATAATAAAATTAATCAAGAATTTTTAAACAATATGGCGACGAAGAATTTGCAAGAATTAATGATTGATTTTTCCAATAATTCGGTCAATAATACTACTTTTGAAAAGCTTCGTACAATTATTCAAGAGCAAAACAAACTTAAAAAATTTAAGATATTGAATTGTCATTCTTTATTAAATAATATTCTTTTGTCTTTAGAATTTCAAAAGAATTCTTTAGTTCATATTGAATTTACAAAATCTAACTTTAGTAATGTTAGCTTTAAAAATTTTAATAATTTATATAATTTAAAGTACTTAAGATTTATAAATTGTAAAGGTATATTATTAGATCAATGTGAGATTTTAAAATTTGCTCCATTTAAGCTCAAGGAATTATCATTTGCAAGTAATAATTGGGATGCTGATGTCACATCATTAATGATCAAATATTTAGGTGCATCATTACAAAGATTATTAATTGGAAATCCGACAATTCTTTCTATTGAAAATATATCAATATATTGTTCAAATCTTATTTTTTTAAAAATATTAATTGATACCCGGTTTAATTGTTCAGTGTTACCATTTTTTAGAAATTTAAGAAGAATATTAAATTTTAGTATTATTACATCATTAACATATAATACTGAACTTTTTATAAATTTATCAAAAAATATACCTATTAATATTAGTAAAATTTCCATTAGTTATCATAATTCTAATAAGTATCTCAAATTTAAGGATTTTTTAGAAAATTGTCATAATAAGTTTGAAATAATTAATTTAAATCATACTGTTGAGTTAAACTTTCTTAAAATTGTTTTAAATTATATTGAAAGAAGTAATAATAGTTTAAAAATTCTTGGTTTGATCAATGTGAATGAAAGATTGAATGATGAAGAATCAATGTTATTGAATAGTATTAAAGCTAAAGGGATTAAAATAATGGAATTTCATAATTTAAATGGTGTTTGTGAAGGGTTGGAGGCATAAGTGGAGGCATATAATATTAGTATTATTATTTTTATTTTCTTATAAATAAAGTCAAATATTTAAATATCAAAATACGTTCATCCAACCGATAAACATTAGCTAGTTGAAAATTATGAAGTATTACAACATCATACTAACGATGTTTTCTATTGATATAAGTGTAATCACTGATCACAATAGTGCTATGATAATACTATTTAAATAAGGCCTATATTATAAAATTTTATAAATGTCATAAATATTGTGAAATCATACTTAACTTTGCATTTACATTATAGGATTTTATACATCTTAAATCATTTTTTATTTTATACTAATAACTAGAAATATACATGGACCATCCACCAGCGTGAAGGTAGAAGTAATATAAATGACCCATAACGGGACAAAATGTCCTTAACGAAAAACGCTTAGAGCGTTCGTCGGAGATGTATATTGTGTAACCTGATCTGGTAATAACAGATAATTAGGTTGGGCGTTATTAGTTAAGTAAGTTATTGTAACGTGGCTGTTTTTGCCTCGCTGAAGAGGTATTTCTTTTTGGAAAGTTTCGTGAAACGGTACAAAATAAATTTGTAGATCCGGCGCAGATTTTATATGAATTACGTTAATTAGCATATTTTGATGTCGATTTTGTCCCACAAGGTCACGTTTAAATGTAACGATGACTCACCAATCAATAACATTAAACGTGAATAAGCCACAAAAAAAAATTTTTTTATCGTTCGATATAAAATTTAACAAGTTTACCTTGGAGGAAGTCACCATTCCACCTTATATTTTAGTTAAGATAAGATTTTTTATACACGAATTTTGCAAATTTTACGAGGTTTTTTTAACACTATTGNGCAAATTTTACGAGATTTTTTTTACACTATTGAAAAATATATATTATTTTCTTTACCAAATTAACAAAATAACAAAAAAAAAATATATTTTTTTATTTTTCTTTTTTAGTTTTTTTTTTTGGCACACCTTGATCCTACCGGCTTTGGAAAACACACCCAGGTAATGTAATACCTTTTTCTGGCAAATTTTTGAAGTATTTATGTTGTTGTGACGTGTTTTTAAGATAGTGCAAACACCACTCCAGAGCAATAGTATTTAATATATAAAAGTCCGTCGAAATTAATTATAGAAATCCATTAATACACATTTTGGTCGAGTATCCCTGTAATATGATGTATGACGGACACCGTAAATTCTAGTGTCATTGTGAGGTATAAATTAACTTATTTGGTAAGTAAAAAAAGGAAGTGTGACGTGGGTGACTTTTTAAGATCAGATGGGTGGGGAAATAAGATAACCAATATTCATATTGTGTTTGTAAAATTTAATTTAAACTAATTGTTGCTAAAAGTGGAGAGTTTTAGTAAGGGCACAATGAGAATAGAATTGATATAATAAAACTATTGATTTATAGGAAAAGTCTGTTGTAAATAATATTATTGTGAGTAGAACGTGGTAATCTAAGATGTGATTTGAAAAGCTTCTTTAAAGGGAATAGAATTTGTTCGCATTGAGCTAGTGAAAGGATAGTGAGCTGATTCACATATTCTAATTTGGGTGAGTTAACTTTGTTGATAATATAAACTAGGTGGTTGTGTGTAATCTTTTTAAATTCAACAGAAATGCAAAGCGTGAAGTAATTTGATGTAGTTTTTTAAGAGTTGGTGTAAAGGAGTTAAATGTGTCGATGTAAACTCCTAAAATTCTTTTGCTGGCATTTCGAGAGGCGGTTTGAATTGTGATAACCTGATTGTTCGAATCTTTAATTCAACTGGGCTGTTACACATTTTAAGATCATTAGTAGGGATCACGTATTTGTTGTAGTTAATAGTAATGTTGGCCATGTCATAAAAACTATTAGCTATTTGTAAATTTTGTTCAAGTTGGTGTTTTGAAGAAGCAAATCAACTAGTTTCATCTAAGTATCCTACTAGAGCGGTATTGAAAGTGATATCGTGGTCTTGTTCATGATTATGGATATTTGTGATTTTGGCCATGTTCAAAGTCAAATGATGGTCGTGTAAAGCGTTAAAATCGTTGAAAGAGAGGGTCGTAATATATGATCCATAAGATAGGTTAAGATTATTAAATTATTATAAAATTAAATTTAAGCACTTATATTAATTTATCATGTGAAGCATTTTTATTGGTTGATAAATTTTTCACTCTGGTGACCCGTCCGGGATATGAGATTATGAGAACCAATTTTTTTTGTGTCACCTTATTATTTCTATTTCCAATTATATGGAGCTATTTAGAAGTTAGAACTTCCCTTTCATGGCTAAAACAAGTTGTTATTTATATAAAACAAGACTACTAGTTGCAGTGCGTATATTTCCTTTATGTAAGGTTTTTATACTATAAGATAAATAAATTCAAAAATGGTACTTAATTTATTTATTTGAAAATTTCCTTATATATATGTACAACCACGCATAAAAAAAAAAAAAATTAAATAAAAAAAAAATTAAATTTGAAAATTTTTTTCTGTTGAAAGTTGATCATTGCTCAATTAACTTTTCATAATAAGAAAATTTTTTTTTTTATGCAAGAGGCGTACAGACATGCATATTTATATGTTTTTCAAAATAAAAAAAGCTCAATTAACTTTACATAATAAAAAAATTTTTTTTTCTTTATGCAAGAGGCGAAATTTTACGTATTGTATAACCATGCATATTTGATTTGTGTTTCAAATAAAAATCTCAATTAACTTTTTCATAATAAAAAAAGATTTTTTTTTTATGCAAGAGGCGAAATTTACGTACAGATTTATACACGTGTTTCAAGTAAAAAGGCTCAAAAAAAAAAAAAAATTTTTTTTGCATGAGGCAAAATTTACGTACAGTCATGCATATTTTTATGTATGTGTTTAAATAAAAAGGCTCAACTAACTTTTCATAATAAAAAAAAAAAGATTTTTTTTTTATGCAGGAGGCGAAATTTTAGAATATTTGACATGTGTTTCAATAAAAAATACTTAATTAGCTTATCACAATAAAAAAAAATTCTTTTTTTATGTACGTACAACCATGCATATTTACACGTGTTTTAATAAAAAAAAAAAAGTATATAATCGCAATTGGACGATATAAAAAAAAAATAATAATTTCTTTGGTAATAAATTTATAAATTTATAAGCGAATACCAAATGAGTGAAATAATCGAAATTAACAATGATGCTGACAAAAACGAAGTTGATGATGTTGATAAAATGGATTTTGATAAAATCGATGTTGATGAAAATGATATTGTTAAAATATTTACCTTCGATGATGAACCATATGAACCACATAATGGTAAACCTATTACTAGGATAGAAATATCACTAAATGAAAAATACCTTATTACTTATAGTGAAGAAGATCGTTCAATTGTCGGTTGGAATGTTGAAGATATAAATAAGATTCAACTTAAGTTTCATCAAACTGTTAAAACTAATGAAGATAATGAAGATAAGAAATATGAAATCAAAAGTTTATGCGTTTCTGATTATAAGAAACTTGCTTATATTACTATCCGTCATTATAATGATAGTACTCAATATACTATTACTGGTAAGTAATAATTATTTGATTATGTAATTATTAAATTATGGTAATTGATATTTATTTTAATATTTTTTTAGTAATCGATATGAATAATAAAGATAAAAAAATTGCATTAAGTTTTAATAAATATGGTGCAAATTATTGTACTTTTAATTTAAAAGGTGAATTTATTTTATATAGCTCAGTTTACCCTGGTAATTGTTTTGATATCCAGGAAATTATTTGGATTTATTCCACACAAACTAAAAATAACAAATGGGAATGTAAGAGATTTTACAGGATACCCAAAGATTATGAATTAATTAGTATATCAAAATATGATAAAGTTTACCTGGTTTCAAATGATTACATTTATGAATGGAATATTAATACTGAGAGAAGTGTAAAAATATTTGGTAATAATAAGGATAAGAATAAGGTAATAAATATTATAAAATTACAAAAAATATCGGAATATTCAGTTATGATGAAAAGTTTATTTCTCTAAAAATCAATGATAAAATCATCGTTTATTCAATCGATTTGGGAATTCCTATTGCTTCTTTGGATATAAATGATGGTAACCATTTTTAAAAATTCTATTTATACTTTAATTATTACTCATATTGAATCATTATTTTTTTATTTATATATTTACCTTCTTTATTCCTATTATACCCCAGATAAAGAAATCGAATATTGCTGGAATAGTAAATATGAAAATATGTTTAATCAAATAAAACTAACTGATGAACCAACTGATGAATCAACTGATGAATCAACTGATGATCAAACAAAGTTTGTGTTTGGAATTCGAAATGGACATGTTTGGAAATCTAAATTTAACGAAAAGATGTCAAAGACGAACTTTTCATCCGAAATTTCTGTTCATTCATTTAATCTATATATGGATACTGTGTCTACAAATTTTCTAAAAGTCATAAATCATCGTAGTAGGAGATCTAAATCATTTGAATTAACTGGAAATTTAATTAAATGGAATATATGTATTGAAGATGATAAACTTAAACTGGAAGTTTTCAAATGGGAATCTATTAGCACAAGAATTACAAGAATTGAAAATCATCCTTATAGATCTAATTATGGTCATTATTTGATTGCGAGCTCATTATTTAATAATAATGATATAGTTATATTGACAACATTTGGTATTCTTATTTATACTTTTAGTGAAAAAGACAAATCTATTATTTTAAACTATTTTTATTATATCGACCGATATAAATATTGTCAACATTACAAAAAAATATTTTCAAAATCTACTTTGCCGTTACCTAATTATGATAGTTTTAGATTAGATGGGTGGGTTTCAGATATAATAAATATTAAGTTAAATCTTATGAAATATGGAGGTGAATTATTAAAATTTGCAATTAAAGAACATAAGGTAGAATTAATTGATGATATTTATAAAAAATGTATGACTTATTTTAAAGAGGATTTAATGAACAATAAGTCATTTTTAAGCATTATCACTTCCGCAATGCCATTACTAGATAAATATTATCCAGAATATATTCTAAAATATTCATCAGAAACGAATATGATCATAGATTCTTCTTTTTATAGTATAGAGCATCAAAATAAAAATTTACATCTTTATTCTTTTTTTCAATCTCCTCAAATAGCTAATTTATCGAAATCTCTTTTATGGACAAAGTACTGTCGTAAAATTGATTACATATATGAAGAATATATTATATTGTATATTATATTGTTTATTATACAAGCTTTAATAATACTTTTAACTTTACCCCTTTATTTGGCTACATTTTATATTTTATCAAAATACAATTTTATTAATGATTTAACCATTCGTTGTGATTTATTTTCTTTTATTTATTTCTACATTGAACAAAAAATTTTTAAAATTCTTAAAAAATATACAACAATGACACCAACAATTACTTTTATAATTCCTTATATTAATTTTGTTAATTATTCAAGAGATTATAATTGGTTTTTTGAATTAATTAAACCTCAACCTAGTCCATTTACTGAAACAATAAATAGAAATATTTATAAAACATGGAATGGAGAAGCATTAATTAATTTTAAATGGAATGCTTATGGAAAATATTATTATGCAATGATTTGGATTTTATTTATGGCTTTGCTTGGGTGCTTTACTACTGCTGCAACAATTCCTCAGAAATATATTAATGAAGAAGTTAGACAACAACTTTTTATTGCTTCGATTATACTTGGATTTATTCATCTAATTTTAGAAATTCGTCAATTTTTTTATAAAATTATTGAGTGGTTCAAGAATTTTTGGAATATTTTTGGTAAATATAAATATTTAATTTAGTTATTTTACAATATTTTATTAATTATATAATATTTTAATATTGTAGATATAATTGCTTATGTGCTTTCAATTTACACTTCTATTTATTGGCTTCAAACAAATGATAAGAATAATAATAAGTATCTAATTCAATTGCTTTCTTTTTCATGCTTATTTTTGGATATAAAATTTTTATTATTTTTTAGAGCATTTGAATATTTTGGTGTTTATTTTGCAATTATAATTAGTGTTGGAAAAAAGATTTTTTCTTTTTTATTACTCTTATTCATTATTATAATAAGTTTTGCACATGCATTTTATATTTTATTATCACCAAAATCTGAATTTTCACTTGAACAATATAATACAAATAATAATGATGATCCAAATAATCCTTGGAATTTAGCTCCTAGTTATAGTCAAATTGATAATAATGGAAATATAAATTCTAATCCACTTATGATTCAAATTCCTGATGGAAATACAAACCTATTTATGGATTTTAAAACTTCCCTTTTTGCTACATATTTATTTTTAATAGGTATATTTAAATTTTTCATAATTATGTAATTATACACAATATTTTCTAATATTTTTAAACAATTCTACTTATCAATAGGTGATTCAAGTGCATTATCCAATTGGACATATATCGAAAATCCATCAATTGCAGTATTGATTGTTTTATTTTCCCTTTTAATTGTTATAGATCTTATGAACTTGTTAATTGGATTACTCAGCAATGCAATTGAAGAAGATAATAATAGAGTCTCATATTTGATGCAAACGGCAGAGGTAAATAATATTATTATTAATCATTCCATTTCTGTAAATATACTAATATATCTCAACTTTTAGATTTTGGCCGAGATTGAGTTATTTTACCTATTACCAAATCAGAGACGTTGGCAAACATGGTTTCCTGAAGTAATGTATGTAGTTTTACTTTTAATAAAATAATTTAATGTTATAATTTTATTAATTATTCAAATTTATTTTTTCAAGACATTATTATGCCGATGCTGATAAGACTCGAGAAGAAATTCAAAGATTGATTAAAGAGGGTGAATGGGATACAAAGGAATTCACAGAGATGCGGAATGATTTATTAAAAGTACTTAAAATTAAACATAATCCTATTGATAATGAGGCAATAATGGAGAAATTAAAATCTCATGATGAAAAATTAGAAAAATTAGAAAAATTAGATAAATTAGAGGAATTAGAGAAATTAAAGGAATTAGAGAAATTATTGAAAGAAATATGTGCAAAATAATTTTTATCTTATGTTAGTTTTATAATTCAGTTTGTAATTTTAAATAATATGGGCTTATCCAAATATTAAATATGTATATTCTTTTTTTTTTTTTTTACTTAGAATTATTTAAACAACAAATGTTAGAGTATTGAATATTTTACAAAATTCTTAGTTTGTAATTTAAATAAATCTTGATTTTTCTTTAACTTATCTAACTATTAAATATAAATTATCAAAATGATACATATAGTACTATAAAACCCATCTCCAATTTGCGAAATCAAAATAAATAATGTAAAATTTTTTATATACATCAAGACGAACCGAACTGATCAGAACTCTAGAAATAGATGAACACAAAAATTTGGCTCATTATATTGGATATTAATCATATGGATCGGTCCCCGGACCGGTCTTTGCTAGAACCGATCCAACTCTAGTTTATGTGCGGCGACTTTGTCGCCGCCAGACTTTTATTAAGTTATTAGGTTTTTTTTATGATTATTGTGTTTATAGTAACAAAGTTTTATAGTTTTTTTTAGTAAAATTAGGCTTGTTTTAAGTAAAATTGGTAAAATCCACTTAAAACTGAGTAAAAATTCGGATAAAATTGCTATTGGTTAGCAACAATAGTTTATATGTCTGAACTATCATAACGCTTGATCCATTACAACTAGTTAAATATCTATCAAGTTTTATTTAGTAAAACAATTCATTAGAAATTAATATTAAATTAGTTAATTCAATAAACAATAATTTCGTTATTGCTTACCAAATTGTTGCAGTATAACATCTATCTGTTATGAGCTATCCATTTCAACTGAAGATAAATGTTCTGATCCAAAAAGTTCTTATTTAGCTATATAAATAAATATTTCATTAATAATTAGTAATTAGTTAAATAAATAAATAAAAATTACATCATTTACTAACATAATGCAGTATAAGATTTTTCCCATTCAATCAGTACATTACATCAAGTCCATAACAGATAAAGAAAAGGAGGGTATTGATTGAATAGCAATATTCAAAATGAAAAAAAATAATAAAAAAGGTTAGCCACCTATCGTATTATTCCATTTTGATTGGCACCTTCTATTCTGAAGCTACAAATCTGAACCTAAAATAGCAATGAAGAAAAAAATGGGTCGATTAGTAACTTATGAAATGAAATAAATAAAAAAATCATTCCATTTTGATCAGTTCCTTACTTAAAATTGATAAGTGGATTGGTTAGTAGTAATTCGAATAAAAAAATGTAATGTATATTTTGTCAGCAGCATTACATTATGATCAAATGAATAAAAATAATAATAATAAAGGAACAGACGTTATCATCACATGACGAAAAATTTTGTGTTAGGTCACCCGATCAAACTATTTATCCATTTTGGAAAATCATACGATGATTTGCATAATTCTTCTCAATAAAAAAATTCCAAATTCCAAAAATCCGATTTTTATTCTCCAAACAAACTATATTAATATAAGTGATAATGGAAAACTCAATTAAATATAGATTAAGAAATGCATCAAACAATAAATCTTTAATTCATAAAACACATAATATATTAAAGCCAATATTCAAATTATGTAATGAGTGTAATAAAAAAAGAAAACATTGGGATGAAAGTCATCAATGTTGTCATCTATGTTATAAAGCAAAAACGGTACTTATATCAAGTGGAAATGAAGCTGTTGATGATTTTATAAGGTATACACGAATTAATTGGGATGCAACTGATGCAACCTTTAAAATGGAATTCGTTCCTTATAATAGATTCAATGATATAGAATTTATTGCTGAAGGAGGTTTTAGTAAAGTTTATAAAGCCACTTGGATTGATGGCCCAATAGCTAGTTGGAATTATAAAAAACAAGCGTATCGTCGTAAAGGTAAAATGATGGTCGCTCTCAAGGAACTTAATAATTCTAAAAATATCACTCCAGAAGAATTAAATGAGGTAAGATATTATTATTAAATTATATTTTTATTTCTCTAATAAGTAATTAATTTAATTTTTATTTTAGCTTAAGATATTTTATGATTTTGCTATAAGACATCAAAATTCATCAATCATGTATGAATATACAGATAGTTACTATGACTTTAATCATTATCATGATATAAGTAATCATTATGGTATCACTAAAAATCCTATAACTCAAAATTTTGTGATAGTTACGGATTATTATGAAGGAAATAATCTAACACGTGAAATAGCTAAACATTTTAGCCTTTTATTATGGTATCAAAAGTTACTTATTTTAGAAAGCACAATTTATAAACTTGAAATGGTACATAATGTAAATATCATTCATAGAGACTATCATAGTGGAAATATTTTGATTTCAAATGATTTCAGTTCAACTCTATGTGATTTAGGAATAAGTAAATCTGCAATGGGACATGATGAAGAGATTTATGGCATTATTCCTTATATTGCTCCAGAAATACTTAAGAGACAAAATTATACTATAGCTTCAGATATATATGGTTTTGGTATGATTATGTGGGAATTAATGACTGGTAGAAGACCTTTCTGGGATCATGATCATGATACAGATCTAATTATTAAGATTTGTGATGGTTTTCGTCCTCCAATTGTCACAAATGCACCTGAAGGTTATGTTGAATTAATGCAAAGGTGTTGGCATTCTGATCCAAATAAAAGACCTACAGCAACAGAATTACGTAAAAAAATTGTGATTATGAAAAACAATGAACCAGAGTATTATTGTGATGGCATTACTAAAATTGTAAAATCACCAGATATTGGACCTGTAAAATCAATTAATCCGGGTGCCATCTATAAAAGTAGATCCTTGAGTGAGATGATAAAATCTGCAGAGTCTACAAGAAGTTTAGAAAGTATTGATTCAGAAATTAGTAATAACAAATTTGAAGATAATTTAACTATAAATGATAATGGTACAATAAAACTTAGCATTATCTATTTTCTAATTATATCATGATTTTTTTTACATACTAATATTTCTTTTATTTGTTAGACTATTTAACAAAAGAAATTGAATTGGATATTGATAACGATACAAGTTTTGGTGATTCTAAAGATGATGGTAAGCAAATACCAAATAATTGTTTACACTATTTTTTTTTTGTTTTTTGCCAATTTACTAATTTTAATTATAATATTTTATCACAGATTATGTTACTGAAGAGATCAATTTTGATATATGAATTTTTTTTTCTGAAGGTGCTTTAAAAATTCAGATCAAAAATTTTACCATAATGAAATAAAATTTCAACAAAGTAATGAGTTCCCAAAATTTATTATTATAGCATCAAACATTAATTACTAATAGAAAGATAAATCAGATTAAAATATTATAGGTTTTCATTAATACCTCTTCAAACTTTTTAGCCGGTAAAAACACTAGAGTATCTTTGATGCGGGTGGCGTCCTTGTTAATAAAAATTATTTGCATCATGAGTTATTCTTCATTAGAAATTAGGCGTTCTTTTTTTGATTATTTCAATCAATACATTATTCTACTAGAAATTTTTTAAAAAATACCTTTTCTCCACGTATTAGGTTTAAGATGCTAGTTTCAACTATTTAAAGTTAACTTCTTATGTAAATCATCAATTTGATATGTATTATATAAAAGTATTATTTATTCTTTCCTTTGATTAAAAAAAATAAGTTTTAAATTCAGGTTTGGAGACAAATTGTTAATGGCAGATCGAGCACTTGAGCCATTATGTGATGCCTAACTTGGTTAAATTTTCTTTGAACCTTTATTTTACCTAATAAAATAAATACGCCTGAATTTTTTCAATTTTAGATAAAGACAAAGTCTCCTTGAAAAAAAAAAAAATCTTTTATTAAAAATAGTTAATTTTAACATTTTACTTCATTCTAACTTTTAGGTAAAAATTCATATATTGAGCGAGAAAAAATTACAATTGATAAAGTTTATAATTCATTCTCATGAAATATAAATAAAAAAATGTAATATTATCATGAGCACGTTTTAATTTCTTTACTTGTATTATATCATTACAAAATACTAAGTTTGACTGCTAGTCTACGAAACGCCATAATAAATTAATATTAATAAAACTAATTTAAAAAATGGACAATTGTTTTAAATCATTTGTTTCTGAGTAATACTTTTTGCGACTTAACATTTTGCATTTCACAAATAAGTCAAACTAAATTCAATATTAATATTATTTTCAAGATGCCGATCTAGTAAGTGAACCTCGAGTTTTAAACCATTCGGGTTTGGTATGACTATAAATCGGTTATTAATCTTTTCAAGAAAATTTGTCTGTTCGTGGGTCTATCAAATATCAATGGTTTTCCGAAATTTAAACAGTTAAAAACTTGCCGCTAACTTTGACCAAAATATATGGGCGGAAATGGCAAATGGCTCAATGTCGATCATCAAGAGTCAAATCCGCTATAATAATTTCGCCATTGATTCTGGCTGGTGAACCAAGTTCCAATTGATCAACATCTGGAGTTTTTTGATTTGTAATCATTTGTAATCATCCGGACCCGTGTCTTCCGCCATTATTACAGCTAATTCTACATCGGATCAAATAGGAAAATTAATATAACCTACTGACTAAATTTTGTACGTTACACACGGATAAAATTTTACTCGCTATTACCAATTAAGGTTAATGCCAATTTAAATAGGAAACAATAAAATCTTAAAATGTAACTCATTATATTGTATCCCGGAAATATTTTTGTTTTTCTACCAAAAATTCTTCTCTTAAAATTATTATGTACATTTTTAATAATAATCTTAAAATATAAACTTAAAGCAATTTTTTCGAATAAGTTGAGACGTAGGATTAATAGATATGGAGTATGTCCTTGTAAAAATTGTGATTCTAATTGTCCTGCTTATCTAAATTTTTTATTACTGAAAGTTTTAGACCAATATATTAACGATAACAAACACGGAATAGATCACATCCTGGGTTTCCACATATAAAGCAAAAAAAAAATTTTTATTTCATAAATATATATAAAAGTAAAAATTTTTTCTGTATTGTTTACAGTATTATTCAATAAAAATATAATAAAACTACTATTTAAAACTTAAAAAATTTATTTTATTTCTATTGATTTTATTTACTATAAAGTTACTTAAATATTAAGATTCTTTGAATTTTTCGCGAATGTTTTAATGTTTTTATTTTTTTTCAAAGTTAAATGTTATACGAGATCAACCATGGTAAAAGAATGCTCAATTATCTATTAAAATATTGATTATGTGGGTTGGACAGGCAATTTTGGTAGAATAAGTAATTCATTGCGCTAACTGAAACGTTTACATAATTTACACTTATAGCAATTGAATTTCTCAAATAAATAACATTTATTTTGCTTATCTCAAATAATATTATTATTAACCTAAAATATTATAATCAACTAATTTTCTGTAAAAATATGTAAATAATAGGGAGAAAAAACATAGTAAATTGTATAAACGTTAAACATTTTTACATATCTAAAATTTAGAATAAAATTAAATAAATACCTGTTCCAATATGAATTTTTTTGAAGGAATATGCTTAAAGAAGTCAAAATTTCTTAATAAATAAAGGAACTAGAACAAAATTTTATTAATAATTGAGAATATTTCTAAAATAAGTCATATCAGATATTAGTATACAATTTTGAAAAGATAATTCTAATTCTTTGAATTAAGGTTTATGATAAATGTTGTTATTATTATTACATATAGGTAATTGAATTTTATTTTATATCAATTTCTATATAGATTTTGATGATTATTTGTTATAGTAATAGTTGTAAATAAATTCCAAATAAATGAAAAAACTTTATTAACTAAGAAAAACTTTGTTGAATTTTTATAAAAGCCTTATTTGATAAAATAAAATTATTAAATCAAGTTTAACATTATATTGATAGATAACGCTAGAGATGCGATCCGACGGATAATCCGCCTTCAAGATAACGGGTAATTTTCTGGATTCATCAACATTCATATTTACAGTTTAAAAAACCTAAATTAATTTATCTGACTTTGACCTACAGTACATATATAAACTATATATTTAATGATGATGCTGCTCCATGATAAGTACTCGCGCAGCACTTTTAATATAAGCTTAGATTATGCTCTAATACGTATATTGATATCAACAAATTAAACGTGTTTGTTTAGTAGTATTTCGATCAATACTTTAATAATTTTTTTTTTTTTTATGATAATAGTAAAGAAAATAACTAAAAATGAAATAAATGATTGATATACTGAATTAATATTTAATAATTTATATTTTCAGCATATTCGACGTTTACAGTATTCAAAATAAAAGGCTATAACATATTGAAATTAATGAAAAAAAAAATAGTATATTGACAAAAAAAGACTCGATAATAACTTACCATTCCCAATACTACATTTACACATGTTTCTTCATATATTAAAATCTTGATGATAATATTTTAAGATTACTACATTAAATAGTAAATACATTGTTTATATTTAGTTTACATATGCCTGAAAATAAAAGACAAAACTCGCATTTAAATATTTGACCAAAGTTATCAAAAATTCTTGAAATTCAATTCTAACCGAAATCATTAATTATGGCCAGAATTATTAGAAATATGAAATATTACAATTCCAAATTCTAAAATTCTAATAAATTGATAACATTTGCCTTGATCATGATCCTTAATCACATTATCGGTTACATGTGATCAATTAAAGTGATCTCTAAATCAATACTGTGTTTTGAGTAACCATATTTACTATTTTAGCAATGATTGGGCGACGCGTGCTTTGTTATTTATTAACAATTTCACTTCACTTTACATTTCATTTGTCAAGCTTTCCAAATTTTGAAATTCTACAAATCATAATATGTAATTTGATAATTTATACAATAATTTATTAGTAAAATATAATGTGAAAATAATTATTTAAATTGCAAGCTAAGAATTTTGAAAGAAATCTCTTCTTTCTACTCTAGACTTAGTGTTTAAATAATTTTATAATAATGATAAGAAATATTATTGATATAATAATAATATTGTTATTATTTAATTGAAATAATTTATATGTATTAAATATCTAAATATATAATAAAAAAAATCGAGTTAAAAAAAAAAATGCTGAAATTTTATTTTAACTTTTAAATAAGAAAAAATGTTTAATTACCATCAGGAAGTTCAAATTCATTTTGTTCTTCCAAATGAAAATTTGGATTATTATAGTATATTTCATCCTCATCTATAAAAACAAAAGAAAAAACAACTTAAAATTAATTATTGAAATTATATAGTTTAGATAATCTTACATACCATCAACGTTAATATTATTTTTCTTCACTTTTTGTTGCATTGTTTCTCCTTTATAATCATTTTGAATATCTTAAAAAATTTAAATAAAATTATGTTTTTAATATTAAATAAATTTTAGATCAATATAATAATTATTATTTTACTTGCCATTCTTTGAATTCCTTTTAAATATTTTGGATAACTTCTTACTATCAACTATATTATATAATTTAGTATAAAATTAATCATTGAATATTTTGATTATCGTAAAACAAATAATTTTGACGTACTATTCTTCTGAATACCCGATTTATCAAATTCATCAACTAAAAAAAAGTTAAAATAGATAAATATAATGTTTATTTTACAGAAATCCAATAATACTTACTATTATCAGGAATAGATAAGTCATATGATTTACTATAAAATGCTAAAATGTCCACGAAACAAACACAATTATTAATTATTTTAAATAAATACTATAAATAAATTTAAATTTATACCTTCTAGTTCTTCTATTGTTTATATAATAAAGCATCATTGATTAATATTTAGTATCTTAATACTTTTTCTAAATATTTAACAAAACAATTCATTATAATAAATATAATACCTTCTGTTGCATTTCTGGGTTCAGGAAGATTGTCAAATTGATGAAGTTTACTTGCAGATAAACTACTACTACTACTTGTATAATTTTCTATACTTTTCCATTCTAAATTATTATTTACTTCTGGTTGAGTTAATGATTCATTTGATTTATTTTGATAAAATAAATTGATTTCTTTTATTTTCTTCCAAAGTGCAGCAACATCGGGTCTTTTAAATGGATCAGCATCCCAGCATTGTTTCATTAAATTTTTATATTCTAAAGGAGTTCCTGGTACAATTTTTGGTCTTATACCATTAACAATATTCATTGCAAGATCATAATTATGTTCATAATTAATAAATGGTGGTTGTCCAGATGAAATTTCCCACATAAGCATTGCAACACTATAAATATCAGATTTATTAGTCTGTACTTTTCCAATAATAACCTCAGGTGCCATATAAGGAAGATTTCCATATATACTTTTTAATGGTTTATCCGCAGGTCCACAAAACCCAAGATCACTAATATTAAGTCCAAAATTTTTAAGTAATAAATTTCCAGAATGCAAATCTCTATGAATCGCATTCTCTTCATGAATTCTTATAAGTGAAAAAATTATATTCTCAGCAATTTGAATTCTTTCTTTCCATGTAAGTTTATTATGATTTTGTTGTAAATATTTTCTTAAATCTATATCCATTTCATACATTACAAGCATATAATTTCCATTTGATGGATCTTGTGTTAAACCAAAACATTGGACGATTTCGGTCCATTTATTGCTCATATTTAAATGTGATTTTGCCTATAAAAATAAAATATTAATATAACTTATAATATTAATAATTTTTTAAATACTTTAAATTACAAACCTCATCAAACCAATTTTGATTTGCATTTTCAACATTTACTAGTATTTTAAGCACTACAACATGTTCTCCAAATCTTTTTAATTGTTGTTTTTTAGAATCCCATTCTTTATATTTTCCATTAATCCAATCTGCTGTATAGATTTCAGAGCATCCACCTTTTGTTAGATATTTGATATTTTTTAAATTATCATATGGAATCCATTCTGGTATCCTATTTGGTGCCAGTGTTTTCATTTGACACTCTTGTAATAAATTATCAATATCAACATTTCCAGATGTCCAATTTGAAAAATTTGCTTTTAAATAATTTCGAACACAAAGTTCACAAAATAATGTAGCTAAACATTCTTGGTTACAATTTTCACAAATTCTTTTTGTTCCTTCATTAAACGTAATTTTTTCATCATCATAAGTTTTAGTTAATATTGTTATTGCTTCAGATTTCTCATTTTCTGTAAGTGATTCATCTGCAAGAACTGTTTGTTTTTTAAATTCAAATTGTTTATGTATATCATTGTAAATGTTATAATCTATTAATGCAAATGCTCCCTCAATTGCAAAATAAATTTTATCATTATAGGACATAATGAATTATATTGTAGAAGCTTCAAACTTTTAAAAATTAATTTAGAAAAAGTTTCTCAGAATGGAGTCAAATAAATTTATCAAAGTTAGTTGTGCAACTCAATGATCGTTACAAAAAAAAAATCGTACTACACGAGTCTGTGGTACGGGTTTGTACATTGTAAAAGGCGTAAAATTTTATACCAAAGACATGTGTCTTGCTTTTGTAGTTTTATTATTTTTTTTTTTTTACAAGACAAATTTCCTGCATGTAGGTAAAATATTATAGTATTATGGCAATAAATAATCACAAACTTTTATTTGTGTATATTTTATCGTTCGTTTTATTTTTAAACTAGTACAATTATATGTGTGGTTAAGAATTCTTTGTTATACATATAAAGTTAATAGCAAATAACTGTATTACAGAATCAGAACTAAAGGGATAAATTGATTTAATTGTGTAATGTTGTGTAATGTTGTGCAATGGTCCACTTGAAATTTTTTTTATGCCGATCTTATCATCAGATAGTAAAACTTGTAACTTGTAAAAACCGAAAATTACAAGAAAAAACTAAAAGGAATAATATAGAATAAATAATAATATTTTTAGGAGAATTGATTAATATTTCATTAAATGTATTCTTTTATGGAAATTTTATAAATAATTTGACGCGATACTCAATAAATAAATTTTACATCTTGTTTTTTAACGTAAAACTTTAACAGAAATTTGGTTTCTTCACGTGACTGGGTGGGTCCTGTTCTTTAGGAGATTTTTTGGCATTTTGTCTATTAAAATAATTGACTGAAACTTGATACTTATTTGATTCCAAACAATATTTTAATGTGATAAATAAATTTATTAATAACAAGAAAAATTATAAAATTCAATGACTAATTATACCTTAATCTTAAATCCTATGTGACATGTGACGCACGTCAGTTACAGTATCATCTGAGATCCTGACGCAAAGAGTTATTTATTTTTCACTGTAATTCACATATTAAACATATTAAAGCAACTAGAAAATTAATACCGTGAAATTCTTTACATCTACTAAAAAAAGTTGCATCTCAATTAGTTATTGAATAACACAAAAATTACTCCTCATTATCAAATCTATCTAGTTTTATAAATTTTTTATTTAATTAATAAACTCAGAAAATATATATAAAATAAACAATATAAATAAACTAAATTATAATATCTTCACAATTCAAAATCCTACTTAATGTCATTCTTAATCAATCAATCCTATTGGAATAATTATCGAGGTGTAAATTTGTAAACTATATTTTTTTTAGAACCTCACAAAAAAACTACGATATATGTAATTTTAAACTATATTGACGGAAAAATTCAAAGATATAAAATCATTACAGAATTACTTACGATTTAAATAATAAAAATAAACAAACAAATAAACTGACTATTCTTAATAAACAGTGCTATAATAAATGTAAGTTTAAAATTTACCATCTTTATTAAATGTTTAGTTGAGAAATATCAATTTGCAAAGATAACGACACTAATTAATAAATAAAGTTTTCATTAATAATTTACAACTAATTTAAATACTTTTTATTAACCATTACCTGAAGATTCCATGCTAATTATATCATCGTTCTGATTATCATAATAATCGACAGTATTTTTTGGTTCAGGAAGATTATTAAAATTAAGCAATCTACTGGTATAAATATCTTCTGAACGTGATTTATATGATAATCCTAAGCTGGTTGAAGGTGCACTACTGACCGCCAAATTCTTATTGATATTTTCTGCTTCTCTAATTTGTATTTGTATTTCATGATTTTTCAATTTATTAAATAATTCATTAGACCATTGATTTAAAATTTTTTTGATTTCTTCTGCTTCTGGTCGAGTTAACGGATTTGAATCTAAGCATCTTTTAATTAAATGGACAATTAATTGTGGTACTTTGATATAAAACCTTGGCCTGAGTCCTTTACAAATTCTTATTGCTAAATTATGATCATGACTTACATCATGATATGGAGGTAATTCAGAAATTACTTCATACATAATAATACCAAAACTATAAATATCTGAGGCTTTGGTATAATTTTGTCCTCGTAAAATTTCAGGAGAAATATAAGGTAAAATACCATATGTACTCTTTTTTGCATTTTCTGATGGATTGTAATCTGCAGGTTTACATAATCCCATGTCGGTTATACAAGTGAGATCTTTGAACCTTAGTATATTGCCAATATGTAAATCTCGATGAATTAATTCGTTTTTATGAATATCTGCAAGCCCTCGTGCAATGCTAAGTAAATAATTAATTTTATCATTAAGATATAATTTGTTATGATTTTTATTTAAATAATTTCGTAAATCTCCATCCTCTGCAAAATCTAAAACCATAGCATAATTTTCTGTTTCTGGATCTTGAGTTATTCCATAAAGTTTAACAATACACCTACCCAAATTTACTTTACAGTGTGATGTAATCTAAAATAAATGTATATATATTAGCAAAATTAAATATTTGCAACTTTTCAAATAATAAAATTAGTTACCTCATTCATAAACTCTAATGTAACATTTTTTGAATTATTCAAACATTTTAATGCCACCAACATATTTTTATTCCTTCTTCTCCAATTTTGATTTTTATTATCCCATTTATCTATACATCCATCAATCCAATTTGCTTTATACACTTTACCAAATCCACCTTTTGCAATATAAGTAATATCATGAAATTTATTGTAAGGTATCCATTCCAACGCATGGCATGCATTATAACTATGGTCTGATAGCTGAATATCTTGAATAAATCCATCAATATCATTATTACCACTTGTCCAATTATTGAAATTTTGTTGAAAATGTAATGCATTACACACATGCTTATATTTTTTACATTCTTCACTATAAGCTACTATATAATTTTTTGTCTCCGGATCCTTAGTTATCCCATAAACTTCATGAAAACCTATAAACTATAAAAATAAAATATTAACGAAAATAAAAATTTTCAGAATTTCATTAATAATAAAAATAATAAATTCATACCTCATTAATAAATTTTAACAAAACGTTTTCTGAACTATTAAAGCTTCTCAAAGTTACAATCATATCTTGATTTTTTCTTTTCCAATTTTGATTTTTATCATCCCATATATTTATATATCCATCAATCCAATTAGCTCTATATAATTTATCAGAAAAATTTTGAAGTTGCAGATCTGCGCATACTTTTGTAGTACATTTAATGTTATAAAATTTATCATAAGAAATCCATTCTAATGTTTTTGATATCTGATAGGTATTATGTGACAATAGCTGAGTAGTCTGAATAAATTCATCAATATCATTATTACCACTAGTCCAATTTTTGAAACTTCGTTGAAAATGTATTGCATTGCATACTTTTTTACATTTTTCACATATATCTTTCAGAACAAGCATATAATTTTGTGTTTCTGGATCTTGGGTTATCCCATAAACTTTATTATCAAATCCTATAATCTGCAACTAAAATAAAATAACACTGAAATATATTAGTAAAAATAAAATTTTATAAATTATACTAAATGAAAAATAATTTTAATACCTTATTCATTATAAATTTTGATTCAATAGATTTTGGATCTGTACTTAAATTTTTTAAAATTACAAACATATTTTGATGCTTTCTTTCCCATTGACCTTTATTATCCCATTGGTTTATATATCCATCAATCCAATTTGCTCTATATACTTTATCACTATTCTTTGCAATACATTCAATATTATAAAATTTGTCATAAGGTATCCATTCTAATACTTTTGATAATTGATAGGTTTTATGTAATAGTTGAGAATTTTGAATAAATTCATCAATAATATTATTACCACTAGTCCAATTTCCAAAATTTAGTTGAAAGTGTATTGCATTACATATATTATTACATTGCTTACATGTTAAAACTACCATGTATTTTTCTGTTTCTGGATCTTGGGTTATTCCATAAACTTTATAGGAACCTATAGTCTACAAATAAAATAGATGTATTGAATATAATAACAAAAAA